GCATTCGGCTTTCCAATGTTCATCCTCTTTACAAAAGGCACACTGATTTTTACGAACTGCAAAGTGTGCACCTCTAGACTGCGACCTCCTACTACAGTTTGGACCACGGCCTTGAACTGCTAATGCATCTCCCGATGCCTTCTCGGAGGGTTCGTCAACACTCTTAGTTTGGACCACGGCCTTGAACTGCTAATGCATCTCCCGATGCCTTCTCGGAGGGTTCGTCAACACTCTTCCTCAACTCATAATTCACCAACTTCTCGGAGGGTTCGTCAACACTCTTCCTCAACTCATAATTCACCAACGCCGAGGTCACCTCCTTGTAATTAACAGTCGTTCTTCCATTAACTATAGTGAGAACAAAAGTATCATAATTATCCTCGAGCAACGAACACAAAAGTAGCATCATTTTGTCTTCATCCTCAACTATGATATCCACATACCATATCCGAAAGTAACTTTATGAAGTTGTTAACATGCTCCCTAATGGAAACTACGCTCTTCATCTTGAACTGGTAAAACCTCTTCTTCAAGTAAAGCTAATTCTCAATGTTCTTAGTAAGATACTTCTCATTGAGCGTTTCCTACAATTTCTTCGTTGACGTCTCGTTCATCACATCATAAATAAGATCCAGCGTCAAGCATGACCGAATAACTCCACAAGCACTACTGTTCAACTTCTTCCAAACTTTGTCCTCCATATCATTAGGTTCTCTTGTAACTCAAGAGTCTCCTCTAAATTCTGTGCGTCCAATGCATCTATCACCTGGCATCTCCACAAACCAAAATTGATCTTGTCGTCGAACTTCGGAACATCAATCTTTGTATTATTGATGCTCAACTCTGTATCGCCTTCGTAAGATACGATCCCGATGTGCTTGCTTCTTTCATGTTGTTGATCTAACTCTTCAAACGAGAATCCTACAACGAATCCTCCAAAATGAACCTCAAGTCGAACCCAAATCTCTGATACCAATTGTTGTGCGCAGCGAAAATTTCGACAGCACCTCTAGTACACAACAAGAGAGTAGATCTCAACTAAATCTCTGCTTCACAAAAGAAACAAGAACCGAAAGTAATATATCTCAACGAAGTGGGATATACACTCTTCCTCTCATCAGTTCTAGGACTGACTTGTCGAGGGAACCTAACAAGCTATTACAAATCACAGCAAGACAAACTATTTTTACGTGGTTCGGCAAGTTGCATACGTCCACGGGACAAGGAGGAGGAGATCTACTATTAGAGAGACAGGACAAATAGGATTTACAATCACACAATGTCTCACAAATAAAACCCTCAAACAATCTCTCAAATCCCTCACCATTTCTCTCTCAAAAGAATGCACAAACCCTCTCAAAGTCGACGTTTTTTCTTCACCAAGCAGAGTCGAAAACTATCTGTTGTTTTCTTCTTTTTTTTCACGCAGCCGAAAAGCCTCTGCGTTTTTCCCTCACGAAGCCAATCTTTCACGCAACCCTAGCAAGCTATATATATAGCTGTGGGAGAAAAAAAACAGTTCGTGGGCCGCATCCGCATCCGCACCCACGAAATCTCCCAGCACATGGGTTGGGAATTGTTAAGTGCACATGGGTGGCCCCCACGTCCCCACTTCGTTCACAGTTGTGATACTTCTATGGTTTTTTTTTTTTTGACTAAAAGACAGGGAGAGATTCCCTGTACGTAAATATATATATAATAAGGATAACCAACAGTTGAGATTACATACTGATAAATAAGTGGAGGAAGAGAAACATAAGGCGAATTGATCGATAAGGAGCGGACCTTGTCGTCACCTATCAGAACAATTCGCCCATGTTTCAACCCACACAAAACAGCAAACTACAAAAAGGAGAGAAAAAAGAAAAAAGAGAAGTCAACAGAGAGAATGAACATCTGCTGAAACAAACCACAGCAGCAACTCCACCAAAATAGAAAAGATATATAAGGCTACAAAACAGACGGAAAAGAAGGTGCCCACATATACTGCAGCGAGCTTCTTCACAAGAGCCTGGAACTCCCTTGGAGTACTGTCAGTTAGTTGCTGAGAAGTTATCATCCACCACCGCCTCCATGTGAGTTTGAGCTATCTCCTTGAAACCCAGGTTGATGGCCGCCTCATGCTGCTTGAGCCCAGATTTAGAGGCCGAACAGCCTGTCCAAAATAAGACGAATCTAGCAACATTAGCAGCAATTTGGAGAGGAGAAATAGCAATGCCGTTGAAAATGAAGTTATTTCGACTGTTCCATATACACCAACAAAAGCATGGTAGCACGATATTCCAGATGGTTGCAAGGTCATGCCCAAAAAGTTGCGTATTAGCCGAGATCATATCCTCCAAGTGCAGAGGCTTGGAATCTGATGGAAAGAGGGGGAGGAGGGAAGACCATGCTTGTGAGGAAAAAGCACATGTAATGAACAAGTGGTCGTGGGTTTCTGGGTCTCCATAGCAAAAAGGACAGATGGGAGTGCCAGACCAACCTTTGGACATCAACACGTCCCTGGTGTTCAGTTTAAGTTTACTAGCAAGCCAAAAGAAAACTTTCACCTTCAGAGGAGCAAGAGACTTCCAAATAAATTTAAAGTGTTTACTAGCAAGCCAAAAGAAAACTTTCACCTTCAGAGGAGCAAGAGACTTCCAAATAAATTTAAAGTGGCTAGAAGTGACTCCACCATGTGTGATGCTTGCGTAGAAAGATTTAACAATAAAAATTCCAGATGCTTGAAATGGCCATATGATCTTATCATGACTGAGGTTACCTGAGATAGAGAATTGAGCTAGAAAGTTAAGGAGATCAGAGATTTCCTGCCTATGAGCCTGAGAGTAGCCTCTTCTTAAGATTGGATGCCACTGCCATACGTTTAGAAGCTTGGAACCTTGAGAGAGGATGTTACATTCACTGGAGAAAGAAAGTTGATGAGCTTTTGGGAAAAGACTGCTGAGGGAGTTGACCCCAGTCCATTTGTCATGCCAGAATCTGCATGTTTTGCCATCCCCAATCTTCCAATGCACATGACTAAAGAAAGGGGGGCAAATATTGTGGAGATCCTTGATGAAGTTCGATGCTGATCTCCTGGGGGAATAAATAACAGGATTGGACTGATCCCTAGAGTACAGGGAGAAGATGACTTTACTGACCAGGGAGTTTTTCTCCATAATGTCCCAAATCCACTTTGAAAGGAGGGCTGAATTAAAGGCAGAGAGGTCTTTAACCCCGAGCCCTCCTTCCGTTTTGCCTTTACAAACTGTAGACCAATTGATTAAGCACTTAATCTTGGATGGGTTGTTATGACCACTCCAAAGGAAATTTCTTCTAATTCTGTCTATAGCTTTGATGAGCCAAGCTGGCAGTTTGAAAAAGGACATATAATAAAGGGGGAGGGAGGAGAGAACGGAGTTAAGCAAAGTAAGTCTCCCACCTAAAGATAGGGATTTAGTCTTCTATAGAGCCAATTTTTTGGAGGAGGAGTCCAAGAGGGGTTGCCAATCCCTTCTGAGCAGAGCACCTTTCTTCAAAGGCAAACCAAGGTAAGTGAAGGGAAAGGTACCCATTGAGCAATTCAGCATACTCGCTAAACGAGCACCTTTGAAAGGGATTCTGCCTAAGTAAAAAAGATTAGTTTTGGTCTGATTTATTCTGAGGCCTGAAACAATAGCAAAAATCGTGAGCACTGCTTTGAGGGTGGATATGTCTGAGTTTGAAGCTTTAGAGAAAATGATGGTGTCGTCCGCAAACAGGAGAAGTCTAATGTGATTTAATTCACCTTTCAGGTTAAGATCAGAAAGATCTCCAGCAGCTGCACTCTTATTGATCATTTTGTTAAGGACGTCCACCACCAAAAGGAAGAGCATAGGAGACAATGGGTCGCCCTGCTTGAGACCACGGTAACATTTGAATACTTCTATGGTTATTGAAAATAGAATGTGTACTATGGTTATTGAAAATAGAATGTGTACATATTTATTTGGGGTACCAAACTCTAGTTTCATATACCCACATTAACAAATCTTACATAAAAGTTGTTGAAATAACACTACTCTAATTCAAGCATCTGGTTTATTTTTTACCACCAAATGTTCAGGTAGTTCTGTTATCTCGACTCTCGAGAGCTAAAAAATAAGGTGATGGACTGAAGAGGCTGGGTTACAATTTGTCTCGAGGAGCCCAGCCAGTACGGACCAGGGGACTAAATTTTGTTATTAATTTGCTTTAACTTTTCCCTAAATTGTGTAAGAATGTAAAACTGTAGACTTCTTGAGTCTTTTGGGGCCAAAGTTTAGTGGTCATGAGCTTGCCCCCTTTGAATGATAGATACTCATCTATTATAGGAGAAGAAATACTGTTTTATAAATGAGATAGGATAATATCAATGGCATCAAATATTTTGTTAGAATGTCGAGTTTATACCAAATCCAGAAGTAAAGCATACCAAAATGTTGCTATCCCATGGCTATGCAGCTATGCCCATCCTAAAGGTGATTAACTAAAAAGATTGTTCAGTACTAATTTTAAAGTTGGTAATTAGATAGACGTTGAAGTATTCTCATTGCACTGATACGTAATATCGATGATACTGTTTTAGAATTGATTACTGAACGCCTATGAGAGAACACCATAGGGTATTTTGTTTCCATACAAACACACTTTTCCTCAGAAACTCGTGAATAAGATCGAATCAGCCAAATCCTGCGACATAATCGCAAACAAGTGGCAATGCCAGATCGTCTAGCTTGCTCACTTACTCTAGTCTTACTCTAGAAACTTAATCCAAACAAACTTCAGATGAGGACTTGATAGCAATAGTCCATATGATCCAACACACGCTAGAATGCTAAAGATAAGGTCTGGGCCATCCCAACAATTAATTCCAGGTATCTTCCCCAGAGAATGTTCTATAATCATGCATCAAACTAAGGCAGATCACAAATTACTTTTCAGATAGGGCACACCAAACTATACTCTCCTTTTTAAAAATAAAAAAATATAAAATATAAAGCTCTACAGAACAAACTCACTGTTCATAATAAATATCATTAGATAAGTTGTGCATCTTAAGCATTACATATATATAAAGTTTTATATTAGTAACTACAGCAGAGAATCGAAACAGGAAATGGAACTAATAGCTAATCACCACCAAAATCTGTTAGCTCCTTGTTGCATAAGACCGCAGAGAATACCATACCTTGAGAGCAGGCTCAAGAAAACTGTCATAGGGGCTCGCTGCCAACTTAAACTTTCTGAGCTTTATTCGCTCGTCCATTGTGTGAATCACCTTGGCGATTTCTCTTGCCATCAAATTGTCTACCTCCCCTGTTTCCTTTACCCCTGATACGTAACAATAACCTAAACGTCAAAGAATATCATGGAGTGATACAAAACATGAAAGTTATTTTTTAATATCTGATGTGAAACCCCAATAATAAGCACAGGAAACGATGGGTACTCAATTTTCCTTGGGAGGAGCTTGAGAGAAGGAACTGTGATAGGGATGGTCACAGGTCTGAACATAAAAAGTTCGAGAGAAATTTGAAACTCATAACATATTCCACACTTAGCAATGGAGTCAATTAAAACAGATTATACTTGATATTGCAGGACTTACTGAAAAATGTAATCCCTAAATTATATTAAGAAAGCACCAGTAGTGTGATCGTTTATATATAGTTAAACACTTCTCCAAACACGGGGAGGAAGATTTATAACTGTTTTTGTGGTATAAATTAAATTGACAATGAGAAACTAGAAAGTTCTAAGCAATAAAAATTATCGAAGAAAGGGAGATGCACACCTTCCTCTCTTATTATTGCCTTTATTTTCCCTGTACTTGTCTTGGTTGCCACGTAGCAAGCTCCAGTACTCCTTTTCGGCATCACCTGAATTTGTACATCCAGAGAATAGGTCAGTGACACGACTTTAAAAAAAACCCATCAAACTCATCTCAAAGTACATTTAAGGTGGCATTAACTGAATAATCAAGTTCTTGGTCATGTTTAATATAACGTAAGCAGGACTATATAATATATATATATATATATATTAATATATAATATAATATATATAGAGGAGAGAGAGAGAGAGGAAAACTATGTCAACTAAGGGACCATCCAACCATCAAAGTTTTATCCTTGATGATACAATGAGATCCGTTGCATATATTGAAGACTTGCTTCCATAATTGATAGAACTTTGGTTGAGGGTCACTTAATTTGACATAAGTTTACTCTCTCTCTCTCTCTCTCTCTCTCTCTATATTATATATTATATATACTTATTAATATAATATATATTATATATATATAGAGAGGAGAGAGAGAGAGAGATGAATATGCGCTGGCCTACCAAGATTTTTTTGGCTTGGGTACTGAGGTGTCATATCTTTCATCCACCTCACATTCCAACCACTCCCCTACTCATGTGAATGTGGGCCCCTTTTTCAATAAGTGGGCGAATAATGTCACCACACTACCAAACACATAACAAACTTTGTGTCTGGTGTACAGCAAGTACCCATTTTTCTCATTAGATATATACTAGTATAATATATATTAATATATATATATATATATATATATATATATAATATATATCATATATTATAATATATTATTCTCTAAAGGTTACAACACAAAGAACAGTCCAGTAGCATAAAAGATGAGTATGTGGCTGCGACCTTTTAAAAAAGAAACGGATATATACTGCAGCAATAGTATATGATGTCTAGAATATTGCATCCACTATATAATCTGGATGTTTCAGGCCATAGTTAAACTAAAGCTGAAACTAAGTGGATTTATGAATTAAGTTGTGGAATCAAGATTATCAGGCGTTTAAAACAGGCTTGCTCTAGTCTAAAACTAGTGTGTTCAATATATCAAGTTAAATTAGCTTAGCAGGTAATACCGAACCAGTCTTTGTGGGCTATCTGCAGGGTGTCAACACTGCAGGGTCACATTTTAGTGCTTCCAGTGATATTCCTTTCCAACCACTTCACTTCCCAACAAACAGAATCAACTGAATAGATTTATTAGCTTGTGAGAGAACTATTGTTGTTGGCTTATGCAAAATCATGTCCTTGAAGATTTCATACAAATGAGGTGAAAGCTAAAAGTTAAATCACAAGACTAGGGTTACCTAAATCAACAAAAATAACTAGTAAGCTATACACCACACTATCTAAAACGATCATTACTATATATTTACTGCCACTCTTAAGGATACACATTATTAGTGATATGCAAGAGATTTGATGGATCTACCAAGAAAAGAAATCAGACGAGACAATTAATGTGTTTGCACTTAGAGAGCTTTGATTTTCTGGTTGGCTTGTCATGAAAAGTTACAAACTAGAAATCAGCTCATAGAAGAAGGGTTTCGATATAAACTCACAGTGCCCATTCTGTGGAAGTTCAGAAGAAACCAAAGAGCATCTGTTCTTTGAGTGTGAGTTCTCTAATAAGGTGTGAAAATATATTTCAGGTTATGTGTGTGATTATCAGGTACCATGTACTTGAAGCAGGCACATTCCATGGGCTACAAGGAAAAGGGGAGGCGAAAGTTTAAATCAAGGTTTAAATGATCTGCTTTGACTGCCTGGGTATCATATATGGCAAGCTAGAAATGCTCTTATCTTCAGGCAACAACAACTTAACACTGGAGATTTAGTGATGCAAATTAAACTCTTTTCGAAATTTCAGTTGAGTAAGATTCAAAAGACATCAGTTTTTATGAAACAGGCAATGGTGTAAAAAATTCTGTGTTCAGTACTAGTAACTTCAAAAAAATGGTGATGGGGATTGTTCTGAGACATCATTTCTGGATTTTTTTTTTTTTTTTTGAGTGTTGACGAGTTATTGGTTAGTATTTGGAAATTTATTGTGATTTCAATAAGCTGAGCTGGGATCCTGTTCTTAAAACAGTACAGATGCTCTGCTGCAAGTAGTTTTATTCTGAATTTGAGGGAAAATCAGTGATTGCGCAGTACAAAGTTTTATAGCTTGAGATCTTCTTGACATAGGCATGATCAGAAAGCTATGTTTTGAAAGCAATTTTTTAGCAGGTTTGCTTATAATAATTGCTAGTCTATTATTGTATTAATATTGAGTCGTTTTGGTCAGTCTCTCTGTTGGTGAGATATAGAATTCATATTGTACAGATTTGCTTTGAAGAGTTATTTTTGTATAGTAGCTTGTATAGATTCTTTTGGTCTATTGTGTTTCATGTTTGGAGTCTGTACTTTCATTTACATATAGGTAATGAAAATCTAATCTTCTCACGAAAAAAAAGTGTACTTAACAGTGCATTCTATAGCTTCGCAATCATGGTATGATGTCATTTTAAAATAAATAAAGTATGAATCAAATTATAATGCCCAAAACTGAAACCTGATCAACTTTTAGCAGAAAATTTTATTAGAAATGCGTGACAATTAACTAACTTAAAAAATAAGATTAAGGTTCTGAGATTTTAATATGGTCCATATCAAAATAGAAAATTATATCAACTTAGAGGATGTGCCATCTAAATTTCTTTATATAGATTACAGTACCATAAGACTGAAACAAACCTTAATAATTAAAAAAATGAGTACAATCCAAATAAACATTTTCCCAGCTAATCCAAAGAAAAGGAGGGGATGCATACCAGTCAGTGGTTCTAACGTAGCAATGTGCTTTTTGACAATAAAGCCACCTTCATCAGTAAGCACGGCTTCCGCACGAGCTTTGACAGCTGCATCAGAGTCTTCAAACCTTATGTACCCTGATTCCTCACCCATCCTAAAGTCAATGAACTACGGAAAAGGAAAACCACCAGTGTGTTCATGATCAGAAAAAATTAAATAAGACAATGACTCGCATGCTCTCTTCCCAAAGTAATAACATGAAGAGAGTTGTATAAAGTGAGATCAACTACACATATTCCAGTAAGTAAATCAACTAAATAATGAAAGACCTACTAAGAAAGAATATAACCTTTTGACCAAGAATATAACCTTATGGCTGCATAGAAATATTTTCAAAAATATTTGACAAAAGATTTTTAAAAAAATAAACCAACCATGTGTTTCAGTAGAAAGGTAATGACATAACTATATAATGAAAACAACAGTTCCCCCGCCAAGTTCGAAGTAACGATCAAAAGACTTCCAGCATGAGGTTTTCACGTTTAGTATGGCCCTATTCCAAAGCATTATATTCTCATGAGTCTAATGAGTTAAACTACAGCATGTTTACTCTTGGGTATTCCTCAGATGATCTATGAATGAAATTAACTTTCAAGTCTAGTCAAATATGCTCCAGTGACTGGTTAAGAACATAAAAGCAAAAAATGATGTATTTATGCTCAAAAATAGGAAAAATACTTAAGCTATAAAATACCTTTACGGTTCCAAACTTCTGGAAGATCTTCATTAGGTCCTCTCTAAAGATTACATTCTCATTGTCTGTCGACACAGTGTTCTTCTTGACATTTTCCACTGGTGAACCTTCGGTAACCTTAGCATCACCCTCTTGGGCATCACCATCAGCCTTTTTATCGGTCTCAGTGTGATCTTCATCAACCTTTCTGCCATTTCCCTTTTCAATATCTTCTGCAGACATTCCCTCATTCTCAGGGACACTTTCTGAGGTGTTCATTTCATCATCCTCAACTATATTACCCTCAGAACCTGAAGCTTCGTCAACCTTGCAGGCTTCTGCACCTTTATTCACCTCTTGACCATTTTCTTCTGTAGATCCTTCAGATGGAATACTTTTCAACTTAAATGCAACAATCAAGCCCTTCGGATAGCTATAATTATATATTACACAAATTGTTAGAAGGCCTATTTAGTACATCAACTCAATCCAGTGAGTTGCCGCTGCCGACAGATCACAAAAAAAAAAAAAGGGGGGGGGGGGGGGGGGGGGGGGGGGATTCAATTAATAAGCAAATGCGTCTAGCTACCTTCCATTTGATGCATCCTTACTAGGACGTGTTTTTTCAAATTCTTCCCACTTCTGTAATCTTTCATCATCGAAGTCTTTTCTGCATTATACAACCAATGACATATATTAATAAAGAGAAAAATTAAATAACGCCACATTATCTAATCTAAAAAATCTTCGATCTAACTATGGTTGGTGATCTATGAAAAATCAAAGAAGACAAAAATGAAAATGTTCAATTAATTGCACTCTTGGGCTTTCATAACAAAACGGAACTCTACAGGTGCTATACATATAAGGTTAATAATCAAATTCTCTAAGGCGGTTGACTTGTAACAAATTATCTTAGTGCTAAGCTAGTAATTACCATTTCACTAACATACACTCTCCTTAGGTGCAAAACAATTTTAATAATACTAGTAACATAATAATTACTTACTTTCAAGTAGGCAATGAGCACATAAGTCCATAAGAAACACAACCCTACAGTACAACCCTTTGCATTGTACTAGTAGGGTAACATTTTTGGCATACGTAATGTATCTGTAGTAAAATTAAATCTGTAAACTAAATATAGACAAACCAAACATTGAGAAATTTAGATAAGCAGATAAGTTTGGATATGTTTGTTATCAAATAGAAGAAAACACTGGAAGCGTTCCTGCAGACATATTAAATGAGGGCTTATTGAGATCAAACTTTCCAATGAGGTAGTTAGGCACAAACTGTAAAAGTTTTTAAGATGACTCAATTGTAAGATAATTTCAAAATGAGCTGTTTGAAATTAGAAGAGAATTGCATGATAAAGATTTTAAGATGAACAGTTAGCTTTTAGTAGTGAACAACAAGTGAACAGGAAACTAATCCATGCAACTTCCTGTGGAGTTCGCATTACAATAATCATCGTAGAAAAAGGGTAATTCTAAAAGTTACTGCTTAAAATTATTGTTCATTACAAGGTCAACCAACAAAGACTAAGACAACAAGAAACTATGTGCAAATGTGCAATTCAACATGCATGATATACACAGAAAGATTATAATGAATAATCAGCAAAGAGTTTAAGATAGGACTTTTACATACTTGGTTTTCACCTCTAGCTCTGCACCAGCAAAAACCATGCTTGTACTCAAAGCCTTATTGGCATCCTCCTCTTCTGAGAACTCAATCAATGCAGTGCCACAAAACTGTCTCTTATCACCAATCAGACGTGGTAACCTAACACTGTTCACCTGCAGGCATTCACAAATAAATGCTATAATAATAATCGAAGGGGTATTCAAGTATTTGCAAGTTGCATGGTTGCATCTCCATAGCATGTGCAAACTTCACAAACTCCAATTGTAGGTATTAAAATCGCCTCAATGAGCAGATGAAAAAAAAAATCAATACTATTGCTTATAATGACCAGATGAAAATTAAACTATGAAAATTTTGGAGCATATCTCATATTCCATCCCAGTCCAACTTTTAAGAGCTTCTATTTTGGATTAAGTAATACTTCAAATGTAAACATGCATAAAGGAATTACCAACTATAAAATTCGGTATCCATAAAAGGCTGCACAACTTCTGAGTGTTCTTGTATCTGAAGAAAGAGAAGGCTGCATAATTTCTGAATGTTCCTGTATTGGATGTGACAAACCAATAGTGGCTCCTTGTAGTTATTGTTAGAATATAAAACTATAAGTTTATAACTCTCATAGTTATGATATAGTGCTTTAACATGGTATCAAAGCAACCTAGGTTCAATTCCCACTGACCATGAATTTGAAAAGGATTTTAAAAAGATTGATACCGCAATGTGAGTTCATATTTCAGGCCATACAAGGGCACTCAACCTACGGGGCATATAACTCTCAACCCTTACCATAACTTCGGAAGTTTGGTGTATGGCAGGACTTTTAAGAGTTACGACAAGTAAAACTTGATTAAAAAAAGAAATTGCATGCAGATAATATGCAGAACTATAGGTAGGAAGGGAATGGTTAGAGTAGTGTAATTAAGCGAATGTTATTTCAATGGAGGAAGATGGAGAAGTTCTTTATGCCAATTTTGAGGAGTTGTCGGTAGTTGGTAACCAACAATAAAGTGCAAATTGGGAACAAAAAGAATTTTAAAAAGTAGGTCTTTCCTAATTTTTAGAGACCATAATGTAAAAACTTGTCTCTCTTTGACCATCCACTTCATTTGACTTACCTTTTTATCAATTTAAACCAAGGGGATTTGAAGTTAAAATATTACCTGACTTTAAAGATCATAATGAAAAAAGTTGTAAACCTAGATTCTCATTTGACATTTCAAATTCATTTAACTTGAACTTTTTATCAATTTAAAACCAAGTGGTGATGTTATTAAAATAGGGTTATTAGTAGCTATGAAAGGGAAAGCACATCATCACAGGGACCAGGGGTGAATGTGCTAATATATAGAACATAGCTGATAAGTAGCTACACCCTCATAGTTCACAGGTACATTTATAAAAAAAACCTATTAAGAATAAACTCAATTATTTATCTGTATATGCTCATTAAGAGCATGAAGCAAAAAAAATTATCATGAAATTAGCTAGGAATTGTCTCAAAATCCACCAGCTCCATTATTTGACAAATGAATAGTGATTTAGAAAGTCAAATTATATAAAGATAAAGTATTTTGGGGCCATTCATTTCCAGTTTCCACTATTCAGGTAGAAGCTGATGGAGCGATTGGCTTTAAGTTATTTCAATATGTCTAAAGCATAGTTAACTTCCTTATTTCCATTTTCCATTTTTTGCTAAGTGAGACATCTTAAAAATTAGGTTTCAACTTTTTTCACTTTCTTTAAAACATAAAAAGAAATTTGCCAGAAAGCGAAATATTTCATTCACTTTCATAACTACCAAATAACCCTTTAACTCCACATACTAAAGTTGAATATGCTACAAGAATCTCAGCTTGAACCCCATTACAGCTTTGGTGCATTTTCTCAACTTCACAAATGCAAACTTAAGCCATGCCACACAAAAAATTAAACAACGATTCTCTACTTGGAATGAGATGCCTTAAAATTTTAGATGGAAGACTAGGTAAAAAGCGCTCAGGTTAACAGGATGATTAACAAGATTTTAGTTTAGGGTACATGTCAATGAATTTGTTTTCTCATCTCCTACATCTTTGTTCAAGCATGATGTTCTGGAGTTGGTGGTAATGAACTGTTGGTTTAAAGACCCAATGAGCCGCCGCGTGATAAAATCTCTAATGTTGCATGAATGAAGTCAATGGTGGCTCACCTTTTTCTCGGGGACAAAATGGAAACTAGGCTGTGTTTCAATCAATAAACAGTACAAAAGTTCCAAGCAAGGAAAGTAATTAGGTTCAGATTTCCTGAACTAAATCCTTTTTATCCTTGCTGACATGGACATCAAACTATCCTATCAGCTCAATAAACAGAGCAAGATCTAACGAAAGCGATTAACACAAAAAATTTGCTAAATGAACTATAACTAGAATTAGAATTGTTGCATATGGGAAACTCATCAGAGTAGAACCAGACCTGCTATATGGCCAATTGTAGCATCATAACAACAAAACAATATCTAAGCAAAATGATAAAGAAGGTGTGTTTTAATTTTGTCTAAAATAGCCTCATCTATAATCCATAAAGAACCAAACTCGAACTGCTATGTGACCAAACAATAGCATCACAACAAACAAAGAAAATTTTGACCAAAAAGATAAACAAATACATGCTAACTAAATTAGAACAAGAATTGGAACAAAAACTATCATAAAATGGGAAATATTTAGAAGCAAAGCTAAAACTGCTATATGGCCAATGATAGCATCAAAAGAAATATTTGTGCGTGTGCAGTGTGGTTGTATACAAAATTACTTAATGTTTTCAAAAGAAGTAAATCATATTTAGTCTTTTAATGGGTGAGTTATACTAGATGATAAATTATCAAACATAATCTGTGAAAGATACCTTTCCGTGTTGATTGAAAAAGGCTTCCACATCTTCAAGGTTAACATCGTATGGTAAAGGAGAAACCGCAACAGTTCTTGAGTCCAATTGCTCCTTTACCTCTTCTGGCTTTGCTAGTTCAGTGCTCCTACCAATCATCTTCCCTGCAATATAACGATCACAATAAAATCAGCTACTGCCAGTCATGCTGCCAAGCATGGTGGCAACGATTAAGTAACAAAGGCACAACACCATCAAAATCTTATATTGGTTCATTGTTCATTTTACCACTAATATACATCAGTAAAAATAACTAGATTAGTTACAAATGCGATAAAGTAAGGGAAAGAAGAAGGGGAAAGAGGTGTTCAGTGATACAATAAACTACAACTCAAGCTGACAAGAGATTGTGTGCAGAGTTGCTCGGCTACAGTGTAAAAGTATGACCCTCAATCTCACCACAACTTCAGAGAGTAGCAATCCCACCAGTCAAGCAATTTATATTCTAACATCTACGAACACAAATAATGCCCACAGAAATCAATCTAATTCTGAAATAATAGATAAGGTGAATCAAAACAAACCCAATTTCAGCAGTATCGATCAAAGTTTCAACTTTATAAGCACGAGGAAAAAAAACTACAATAAATTCCAACAAAATAAATAAATAATAGAAAATTAAGAACCAAAAAACTCACCATCTTCAGATACTTTAAGGACATTAGACTTCCTCAATGTCTCCGCCACCGCCAACACTTTATCCTCCGGCACCGCCTCCTCCTTCACCTCACCCAATCCAAGATGGGTTCTCATCCGAGCAAAGGAACATATCAATCCCAAACTCACCACTACAAAAAACAAACCAGGATTAGAACGAAAAAAAAATAAAGCTTTAAAAGAAAAGATTTGATCTTGAAGCAAACAAAGCATACATCCATCTTCGCTCTCTTCAACCTTTTGCTTCAAGAACTTGTCCCTCGGAAGATTGCTGTCGCTGAAATAAAACTCCACCTGCGAGAAAATCCGTAAAGAAGAAAACATCAGAAGTCGAATTTTTACCGGCCCCAAAAGGATTAGGCATTGAGAGCGACCTGGCGGAGGACTTTCGCGGCCGTAGTCTCGTCCAAGGAAGCAACCGCCATTAGAGGATCGGAGGAGAAGGAAGCGAGGGATTTGGGGGGTCCTGCTGCGGTTTCTAGGGTTTTTGGAGTTGGAAGCTTTGATTAGGGTTTTAGGAAATGGGACTGCGAGGGTTCGGTTTTATAGATAGACGCGTGCAAAGTAACATAAAGAAATGGGGGACCGATCGCTGGCAAAGAATTGACTTCAAGTATCTTTTGTGAGATTTTATTTTACGGACACCCACACGCGCGAAAACCAGCGGGTCTTCCTGTTAATTTGGGGGTTCTTTTATTTCTTTCAAGCCCTTGACTTAACTTTTTTTTTTAATTTCTAACATCCTTCTTGAACTGACAAATTCATCCTCTCTTGCGTTTTTCTTTTTTTCCCCCTCCTTTTTTAGGCAAAATAAAAGTTATGGCTCACTGGCATCAGCATCTGTGATTGAAAATAAAATTATGAATTTTCGAAGTACAACATAATTCAGGACGAGTTTGGTTACAAGTAGGTGGTAGGTGGTATTGGAGTTGTAACTTAAAACTTGACTCTATCGTGGGAAAATTTAGTCCCACATTGGATCTCTAAGAGGGACGTCTCAATCGACAAGACGAGACGAGATCCGAATGAACAAGACGAGACGAGACGAGACGACACCTTCTAGTCGACACGAAAGGCGGTGTTAGTCTTCACGACCGAACGAACAAGACGACACCTTCTAGTCGACACGAAAGGCGGTGTTAGTCTTCACGACCGAACGAACGAGACGACGAGACGAGACGACACCTTCTCGTCGACTCGAAAGGCGGTCTAGTCGACACGAAAGGCGGAGTTAGTCTACACGACCGAATGAACGAGACGACGAGACGAGACGACACCTTCTAGACGACATGAAAGGCGGTGTTAGTCTTCACGACCGAACGAACGAGATGACGCCTTCTAGTCGACACGAAAGGCGGTGTTAGTCTACACGAACGAACGAACTAGACAACGAGATGAGACGACATCTCGAGGACTCGGACTCGAGGTCGGGTCAGTTCGGGAGGCGCGCGTCGTTTGGTTCAGAAATTACTATTTTCATCATCTTGAATCTATTACAACTTCAATCGTTACAATAAACTCAAATAAATAAAAAGTTGATCTTTTATAAGATCTCCTTATTCAATGAAAATATAGAGATTACAATTCCTTCAAACAACACATAACGATAATTTATCTCCTGTTGCTTGCGTGGGATCTTTGTTTGTGCCGGGGTTTATCAGTGGACCGCCTACGGATCGGATCCGGTTGACAGAATTATTGATCAAAGCTCTCACTTCACGAAGGAAGCAATCGCTGAAGTAAATAATCTCGACCAAGCGAGATTCTTCTCGAGATCAAAATCAAGTTTGATCCGGAGAAAAGGGGAATGAACCTCAGATCTCTCGAACTCCCCCTCTTTATGCTGAAGAACTTCGCCAAGATTTGCTAGCCTCTCTGAAATTCGTCAGAACCTCGACCTATCTCCTCTAAAATTCATGGATCCCTTCAAATCTGACTTTATGAGGGTGCTAGGGGTGTATTTATAGATTTTAAATGTCGTGTTTGTGGATAGGAATGTCGTATTTGTGGATAGGGTCAAAAAACAACTGTTATTATCCGTTTAGGTGGGTTTTCGGTTGTGTAACAGCTTTCACACGTTTAAGGATAACCCTACATGTTTATGGATGACCCTAGGGAGTTCTAAAAGCCAATCTTATCAGAAAACGCGTCGGGAGCTGACCTGGGCATGAGTCACTTCAAGATGTAATTCAAGATGTGTTGGAAAGCTGACGAAAAGAGCTACAACGTTTTTCTATTGAGATTTTTTGGATTCAAATCTCATCATGGTTAAAATTTCACTTCTTCGTGAGGGTCACTCTAGAGTCCTCCTGATTGTATTTGCTTCGTCGTTTCACATATTTCAACGTTTCATGTGTGTTCCTTCGCTTCTTTTTTTAGTATCTAATGATCCTCTTTGACTTGGATAATCCTCTCTGACTCGGATAATAGCGTTCATCACCTTCTCTCGATTTTGAACTACATGCGGGAACCTACAGGTAATTTTTGACGCCTACACGCGCACACTCAGCCCACTTTGAATTCCTATTGGAATAATTAAAACGTGATCAACATACGACTAGCATTAATGAACGAGAATGATGGATCTAAAGAGCAACAATGGCGGATCTAAATGACAGAAAACGGCTAGCATTAATGGGTGAAAATTATGGGTGAGTAATTAAAACGTGTTAATTGCTGCGGGAATTAAGGATCTAAACGACGACTTTAACCCTATAAAAGGACCTATAGGCGAGAGGGCTAAGATACAGTGCAAACAAAACAATTCTTCTCTCTTCTTCTTCTCTTTTTGATTTAGAACTTTTTGTTGTTACTCCTTTGTTGGTTCCCTGAAAGTTTTGAAGAGTTCGCGGAGCCTTCTTGAAGCTCGTGTCGACGAGAAGAAGGTCACCTGACTGAGGGTCGTCGTATCTCCAAGATCTATGGTCACAAAGCCCTGTACGAGAGGGGGCAATTAGATTCTTGGGACAGTGCTTAGTACACGCTTCGATCATCAGGCCGTATTTCTAAACTTTATTTATTTTCTTTTGAATAAATTTTATTTCTGAGTTATAATATTAATCTGCTATTATCTGATTTTCATCAATTGTTCAAAACTAACTTTTTCGTGTTAATTACAGTCTAAACAACATCATTTTCTAACATTTCAAGAATCTAATTGTGCTGTTTAGAATAAAATCATGTTGAATATTCTATTTTGTATTATGTTTTTTATGATAATGTTGTTTACATGTCATAAAACCGACTTGTTGTACTACTTGATGTTTTTGTTGATAGAGTGCATAAATTATGTATGATGCATCATAATAACAAAATCATTTATTCATCATTAGATCATGGCTACAAGTAAAATCCTGTCGGCCAAACCAGAGAAGTTTGATGGGAACAATTTCCGTCGTTGGCAAAACCAAATGATATTTTGGTTAACAACTCTAAATCTAATAACTGCAATTGAACCCGACAACTCATCTTCACCTAGACCAATTACTAGACAATCTTCCTCCACGGATTCCATTCCTATCCCGAGAATACCTCAAGAGATAGAATATAATTGCCTTCATAGGATCTTAAGAGCCTTTTCTGATAGATTATATGACATATATTATTCTATCACTAATGCTAAAGTTCTGTGAGAAACACTAGAGAAAAAGTATGGTTTAGATGATACGGGAATTAAAAGATTTAAAGCCTCTGATTTTAACAAATTTAAAATGGTAGATTCTAAATCAATGAATGAGGAGATTCATGAATTCGAACATATAGTTCATAAACTGAAAATGAATGGATCTATCTTAGATGAAACATTTCAGATAGCTTGTCTTATAGACAAACTTCCTGAGTCCTGATCAGATTTTACCAAAAATCTTACCCATACCTAAGGAGATCTTACCCTTGAACAAGTATTGAATGCCATTAGAATCGAAGAGCAACATAGACTCAGGGAGAAAAATGTGACAAAATCCAAACCCAAAGTAAACAATGTTGAATCCAAACCCTTTTCCAAACACAAGAAATGTTCATTCCACCTAAATCAAAATAAAACATTTAAGAAGAAATCCTTTCATCAAAATAAGAACCATGTCCACTTTCAAAAGAAAGAAAGAGCTGAACGTCGAGCCTGCTTTATTTGTGGATGAACCAACCATCTTGCTAAGGACTACTTTTACAAGAAGACAGAATCACCCAAGTCTAGGAAGGGAGGACTGTAGGCATGTAAAATTGCTTATAGGTCCCTTAACATGGCTCGGCACAAACCAACGAACCAACGAGGCGACGAGGTTAACGAATCGCACGCGAGCAACGGAATGCATCCATTCGTGTGCGGAATCAAGCCAACGGTTCGGGGAGTCAACGAGTCATCCAAACAAGAGCGGACTCGAATGAACCACGACCGAATCAAGATTGGTTTCAGACTCGAACTCAGAATCGGATCTACTGCCAAATCAGGTCAACAAATTGAGTCCAAACAAATCAACCGCACAACCGAATCACGGACAAAACGGGAACAACGACAAAAAGACAGGAACTCAAACACCCAGAGGGGCTCGGCCGAAACCGAGCCACTTCAGGGTGGCTCGGCCCAAGCCGAGCCACCCTGAGGTGGCTCGGTGGCTTCGGCCCATGCGAGCACCCTTGAGGTGCGCTCGGCATTGAGCCGAGCAACCCAGGGTGGCCGCCACTTGTGGCCCGAGCCACCTCAGCCCGCATCTGTGCCTAGGCACAGATCTGGGTGGCCTATTAAATAGGCCAATGAATTCAATTGAAGACGATTTTTCCCCCGAACAATCTGGCGACCACAGTGGGAGCCGCCGATCTCGCTGCCGAGATCGGAGCGTCGCAGCCGCGGATCTCAATCCCGGTCAAGGAGGAGGTCGAGTATGAATTCGACCAAGCCAAGTTCGAGGAGTACCTTTCATCCTCGTCCGGATCAACCTCCCCCCGCAAGTCCAAAAAGCTCTCCTCCAGGAGAAAGGCTCGTTGGTTCGAAGAAGTTCAGAACGCCAACGAAGCTCTCACCCCGGCTGACGTCAAAGTTGCGCCGGGTGAAGTTCCACCGACCTCCAACGAGGTCAAACCTATTCTTGTCAACGCTTCTACTGTTGAAGGCGTTGTGACTCTCTCAAAGAGAGCCCGCCAGAGGCGACGTCAGCGCCTTGCGCGACAACTCGCTAAGGCGATGGAGTCTACGGACAGAGTCCGCTACAACGCGGATCTGAAGAATAGGAGAGGCAAACAGCCTCAACAACTGAAGAATGGCGGTTCCTCCAAGCCGCCGACGAACGAATGGATCCGGGTCAAACGGAACCGTTCGACACTTGAAGAGCGGATTCACAAACGCCGCGCATTACTTGCACAAGCAAGAATCCTCGTGCAGAAGGCCGAGGAATTAAAGAAAGAAAGGGTGGCCAAGAAGCCGCCATCACCCCGCAAAGTGTGGAGGCCGAAGCAACCTCCAACCAAAGTTCAACCTCCGGTGAATCAACCAAAGTCGCCGGTAATCCCAATAGCTTCTCCGGGAGATCATGCAGAATCGTCCCAAAGGAAGAAGCCAGTCTTGGA